GCCACTGCACTCCAGCCTCAGCAACAAGAGTGAAACTCCATCTCAAACAACAAATTAAATTAAGTTAAAAGATGCCATGTCCTAATCCCTGGGGCCTGTGAATATGTTGTGTTACTCGGCCAACAGGGAGTGAGGTTGTGAGTGGGATCAAGGCTGCCATGACCTTGAGACCGGGAGAGTGTCCTGGATCCCCCGATGGGCCCCGTGTCATCACGAGGGTCCCCACAGCGGAGGAGGGACACCCTCCCAGCTCCCACCCTGTGAGGAGGCCCAAGGGAACACCAAAAGTACCTGTCCCAGCAGTGGGGGCTTTTACAGGTTCCCACGGGGCACTGCAGGGATCAGAGGACAGAGAAGGGGCCCCGGGACAAGCGAGTCGCATAAAATGGCCCAGAGACAAGGCTGGCCACGGAAGGCTGAGGAGGGCTCTGCAAAGGCCGGCGGGACGGGGGAGGGCACTCCAGAATTGGAAGTCATCCTGGATGAGACCTAGAACGTTACAGCTGTTTATCGCCAGAGTTATTTGAGGAGGTGATGAAAGAGGAGGGTGGGTCCCGGCCAGGAACCCAACCAGGCGGGACCTCCAAGGGCAACCTGGGAGCTGCGAGAAGGGAAGGGCAGGTCAGCTCTGGATGCAGAGACCCCTCTGGAGCTGCAGGCTCAGAATGGAGGGGGGACCAGAGGCCGGGAGGCCAGGAAGGAGGCTGGGAGGGCAGGGCTGGAGCCAGGCCCCTGAGGGGGACAGAGAGGTGGGTCTGAGCCTGGTGGGCCCTGGGAGGTGAGGAGGCAGGAATGAGTGGACAGTGCCCAGGGGCCTGGCTGAACCCTGGGACCCCCGTTAGGCACCTGCAGAAGTGGGGGACTCAGGCACAGAGAGGCAAGGGGTCCCTGGCTTGGGGCGCATCCCCTCCAGCAGCCATAGACCCTTGCGCCCAGGCAGGCAGTTCATCCAGGCAGCCCCCGAGCTGCCCATGACCGTCCCGGCAAGGTGGAACTGATGCCTGCAGGACACGCTCACAAAAGCCCTCGCCACGCAGGGACCAGGGTGTGGCAGGTTCTGGTTTGCAAGTTTTCCCAAGGTCAAAGGGCAGGTCTTAAAGTGAAAAGCCAGACAGCACCGAAGGGGAAGCTGCTGGGGGTTGCAGACACCCCAACTCCAGGACAACTCGGACCCCTGCACCTCCTGCCCACTCGCCGGGCTCCCCAGGCCTCTGCTGGTGTGGGTCTTGCTCTCTGCCCCGTCTGGGTGTCTCACCCCAGGCCCCTGGCTCAGCCCCCTCTGTCTCTGTGTCTACCTCTCTCTCTCTCTTGCTGGGCGTTTCTCTCCACCCCTCTCTGTCTCTTTGACCCTGTCTCTCTGTCTCTCCCACAGTCGCTCTCAGTCTCTCCTCAACTCGCTGTCTCTCCCCTCTGTCTCTCTGTGTCTCTACCCTTCTCTCTGTGCCCCTCCCCTTCTCTCTGTGCCCCTGGGCCCCTCCCTGCCACCCTGTGCCTGTTGCCTGTCCCATCGCAGGTCCCAGACAGACTGGCGGGGGCCTGAGTGTTGCTATTCTTGGGCCTGAGTGGCAGGAGGGGCTGTGGCCCCCAGGTGCGTCCTGGGCTATGGCCAAATAAGGTCCGGAGTGAGGAGCCCAGGGAGGAGGAGCTGGGGTGGGGTGCGGGGGGAGAGGGGCCAGCTGACCTCCTGCTCCCACTCCCTCCTGCCCTAACCCCCACATTCTGGCAGGTGAGAGCGGGCAGGGCAGACCAGGTCATCGCATCAACTAAGCACTTACTGCGGGCCCCTCACAGTGCAGAGCGCCTGTGCCTCCACCCACTGGGACCCCTCTTCCCAGGAGAGCGCCTCGGGACTCAGAGGGCTGCCGCTTGCCCCAGGGCGCCCAGCCAGGCCCGTCCCAGAGCTGAGGGGGCGGGGGCGCCCACCACAGATGCCAGCGGCCTCTCAGCACCCCCAGGCTGCAGAAGGGGAGAGGGAGGGGCT